TTGTTTATATCAAATGTCCAAAAGAAATGTGTGGAATTGAAGCAAGGTTTCAGTATGATTGGTACCTTCTTGTAGATACAGGGGAAATAAACCTCTACAGTTTGACTTTTCAGGTTCTAATGAACTACCTATATGCTTTAGCTCATGATTTCTTCTTTATTCTATTGTCCTATCATTTCTCTGACTTTGTCGTTTATATTTGATCTTTTATTCAGACATAGGTTTCACACAAGAAATCCAAGATCATCTCTCTATCCTGAGAAAATGAGTCTACATAAGCAAAGTCCTTTTGTCATACAAGCTAACATACTTAAAACTTTCAGGTAGTTGGTTTTAGTCAACTTTGAATGGCCTTCATTTAACCTGTGACATGTGGTGTATCATTGACCTTTGATTTCATTGAACTCTTTATTCAGAAAACACCATTCTGCTTTGGAAGAGTCAGTCATCTGTTCACCTTGGTGTAGCAGCCTGATTTTAGTCAATAGATTGCCTCCCAGTTCTTGGTGCATTTTTTTTCTGTTTTCTAATATGAGAAAGTTCAGTCCTTATCAACTTTTCTTTATTGCTTCTTACATAAAGAGAACTGTGAAAAAATCAGACAAATAGTAATGCTGCTGGTAGTTAAACCTTATTCTGTACTTAATGAGATCTGTCACCATTCTAAATGTCCTATATGAATAAGTGCATTTAATCTATGCAGTAATCTAATAAATTAGAATCTTTTTCATTTATCTAATAAATAACAGCAGAGAGAGATTGTGTAATTTGCCCAAAGTCTGACTTAATCATTGATAATACAGACTTTTAATGCAGGAGTCTGAATCGAGAACCAGAGATAAACAATGGACCAGAGCACGTTCCTCGTTGGTGATATTTTGTCTGTGACTGAGGGGGTCACAGAACTAACTCCAACACATGTCCCATTCTAGAACTGCTGACTGTATTCAGCATTTGTCTTTGGTTACCTTTTAAATTAAAATTGCACGACAATAGTTAGTAACAAAATATAAAATATTAAGTTTTTACTATACTCGGTGCCATGTTTTGTGGCAGGAGCTATACTGTATTATAACTTTATGTAGTTTCCACAATTATCTGACAAGGTCTCTGATACAACATGACATCAAAGGATTGTGAATGGAGGAGATTTGAAACAACTTGTTATTCTATGAACAATTATTAAAACCATGTTTCTTCACTTATACCTAAAACCTTCCCTACCATCTACATGTGCAAAGAACTCCTTTGTTTAACTTTCTTGTTTCTAATTTTTTTTAATCTGGTCTCAAAAATTCATGGTTTTGTTTGCTTTCTGTTTCTTTGTGATGCAAACTTCCATCCTTCAGACAAGCCATTCTTTCCAAGAAGTAGCACTCCCATAGGAACATAGTGCCTGTTTTCAGTCCTAGTGTCTTCCATCTAATGAAGGCTCTAGTTACATCTTGTCTGCCTTCTCTAATAGTTTGTAATTATTGTCTACAAGCTGCTTGTTTGTTTTCTTCACAATGCCATTCTTTTATTTATTATTGTTTATTTTCCTCATATATAAGCCCCATTGTTTCTGTTCCTACATTAAAAAAAGAAGATTTACTTTATGTATTTTCTCTCAAGTCTCAATTTCCAGCTAAATTGAACTTATTATATTGGATCATCAGTTTCCTATGCCTCATGTTGCACCTTGCCTCTTTTCACACTTAATTCTCCCCTGCTCAGTTACTGAGCTCTTATGCTTACTATTGTCCTGCATGTCTGAAGTCCTTTGGACTCAGGTTATGTCATCTGTTATTGTCTAGATTAGGTGTTGCACAAAAATGGTGGTGCCAGCAGTGACGATGCTGGCAATGGTGATAACAGATAATTTAGTTGGAGCACAGTGCTACATACACACCACAATGATCCAGCTCTTCTTGGTCATAACTATTCTATTAGGCTTAAACCCAAAGACAAGTTTAGTTAATTGCCTGAGGTTAAAAAGGTACAGAACCACTTTGCAGAGTTCTGCTGATTGTAATTCTGCAGTTCTTTGAGTTAACAATTATATGAAGCCTCCCTCTATAGTCTGGTAGCCAGGTGTTATTTGAGAGGTTATCTATTCAGTATGGCCAGAGGCAGTTCAATTAATGGCAGAAATTCTCAGTGACAGAATGAAGTAAAATTTATTACCAGGCAAAGAGCAGCAGACATTAGGTCTGAGGATCAATAAGAAGAAGAATGGCTTAGCATTTCTACAGTTTTTATTTCGTACCAGGCATCATCCCCGACACGGAATAAAACAACACATTATGATGTTTTCATTCATAAGAAATCTGTGGAATACATATTGTGGTTATTTTTATCTTATAGATAAAGAGACCAAGGCATGACAAGGTGAAGTAATTTTCCCAGCATGTAGTTACAAGCCACCAGGTCCAGAGTCCACAGTAGTGATCTCAGTGCTGTCCTAAGTCAGGCTCCAGTTTAATCATGATTACAGAAGCGCGAAAGACAGCTGACATCAAACACCAGGAGGGTGGGAGAAATTTGGGATTCCAAAACACAAATAGAATCAGAGAGTGGCTTCTTGACCTGTGAAAGAGGTGGGGGAAAATGGCGATCTGTCTTTGAATGATAACCCTTTTCGAGATATGAAGAAAACTCTGTACCTTTTAGAGGCCCTTTAAAATATGGAAGAGTTAATCATTAGGCCTTTTTTTGAGCTTCACTAAATCCATCAAACTGTGTTGGCCTTCCCTCTTAGACTATATTTTCTTCTTCCTTTAATCTTTATTACATCTTGTTTGTTGGGGACCAGGTGTGACCTCCCCTTGTTGAGGGAAGAAACAATGAGAATTACATACATTCTTCATCACAGTGGTGAAAGAAAGAGGACAGATCAAAAGGAGTACAGTCTGGGATTGGTAATCCTAAGGGTGCTACCCTAAGTGATAAATAGTCTCACCAGTGTAAAGTGAATGACATTGCTTAGGCAGGATATTCCATTCTATATCACTAATCATCTTGTCACAAAAATGCCAGGAAGACAGGTCACTATAAACATTTTTAAATTTCAAATTTAATAACCCTAAGTAATTAGCATATAACATCAAAAGGCTTTTAAAACCCAAAAGTAGGCAAGCCTGGAATAAAAGGAGGAATTTTTCATTTCATGAGAGATCATGAATCTGATGTCTGCTAACCATATGATTATAATTATTATGATTAATGATAAAATTCATCATTTACTGGAATGAGGCTACAATTTATAGACCAAACATTTAAAAGACATGTCACCAAAGAAGATTCGTAAATGATTCACTAAAACATGAAAATATTTCAGCAAATAAAAACAATAAAATGTATGCTATTCATCAACAAAAAGGAAGTAGTCATAGAAGCTAAAACATGAGTAAACATAAAAAATGTCTATGTTCAGTGAAGGAAGCTAGATATATGGAATCATACACTACATAAATATATGTTTAATTATGTAAATTGTGTGTTTGCATGTGTGGTGGTGTAGGAATACATGCACATGACTGCAGGTACCATCAGAGGTCATAACAGGGCATCAGATCCCCTGCAGCTAGAGATACAGGTTGTTGTGAACCAGAACCAAACTCTGGTCCCATGGAAGAGTAGGTGCTCTTAACCATGTAACTGACCATCTCTCTGGCCCTTGCATTTAAAAGAATGGTCAAACATACTAAAAGCTTCAAAGTAGATTAGTGGTAGCTTGGTGGGAAGGATGAGAACAAGACTGTCTGCAAATTGAAAGGAGAATGAATGTACAGGGGGATGAGAAAGTTCTAAATAGATTACTGGGGAAAGGCCAATGAGTCACTTGTCTGAAGCTCTCAGTTCACAGGATTGAAGAAGGAAACTGATCACTTCAGGGAGTCCTCTGAGCTCCAGGAGTACACTGTGTCATATGTACACACGCACACACACACACACACACACACACACACACACACACACACAAAACTTAATTATTTTAATTGGATTATTCAAATGATTCCAAAACTGTCAATTTGGTTTTTTGAAGTCATGCAAAGTGTATATTTAAAATAGATAAATTTCATGCTGCATAAATTATCCCAAAACAAACTATTGTTACTATTACAATCATCCCACCCCCTCTACCTCAACGTTCCTTGAGCCCCAGATATAAGAATTGTGTTGTAGATAGATCAGTTGACACTGGGTGCTCTGTGGTCAGTTATTCTCTACATTTTGGCCAACTGTGGATTTCTGAGATGGTCTCCATCTATGGTCAAAAGAAGCTATGTTGAGGAGGTGTGAGAGCAATATCTTTCTGTGAGTATAATGATAAGTATTTAGACTTCAGTTAGAAATCATACTGGTTTTGGAAAGTGGTGATAGTAAGCTCTCCTCTACAGTCCATAGCCTCACCAGCCACGGGTACTGTATTATGGATATAGTACCTGGCATGAATTCTCCTCTATTTAATAGGCCTTTTGTATAATAGACAGTGTTGGTCGTCCTCCAGATATGGGTGCCACTATTTCACCATTGAGGATACATTATTATGCTGATCATTGTTGTGATTCATAGGCTATGCAGTTGTATAGGACAACTAATTGTTTTTCTGCCTCAAAAGCTTGCATAGCAACTTCAGGTGCTATGAGAGCTAGTCCTCAGGAAGTAGGCCTTCAGGTCAGTTCCTCCAAGGCCTATGTCTCAAGTATGTGATGTCTTCAATAGTAGGCTTTTACCTTTAAGGTCTGTGGTACAACCAAGGACAATGGCAATAGCCTATGTTGTTTGGGGTAATTTCTTGGACTTTTCTGCCTCAAAGGGACTGGGTTTTTTGTTAGCTAGACTCCGGCCCTTAGTGGGTAGCATTACCACCCCAAATAGTGTAAATTCATTGAAATAATTATATATATACATATAATATGTGTGTGTATTAATATATACATATCTATATCTATATATGCAAACTTAAAATGATATATTTTCCTTTAGTTATTTTTTTTTTTACTATCTTCCTTTAGGTACCTGTGTCTACAGAGTACTGTATTTACAGGCCAAGGTAGGATTCTAAGTTTTCCTTCTCAACATAAGTGAAAAGTGGGTCATTGTGAAGTGAAGTGAGTTTTATCAATGCCTTTAAAAGAATGGTTTTAGATCCCCACCATAGAAACAGGAAAACATCACAGAACCTTACTCTGTCAAAGGCTGCCCTTACAACTCCTCTTGCTAGGCTCAGAATAAAGGTCAAAGGGAAGTTCAAGGGTTCTTCTTTCTCCTTTACTCAGAGACAGCCAGAGAACTATTTAAGTGTGAGAAGTTCACACTCATCAAAGAATATTACTGACAATCACTGAAAAAAATGACTTTTTTTTTCTAGAAATTAAAACAAAATGCTCTTTCTCCCCCCATCTCTCCCGACTGACAATCAAAGGTGACAGTTATCCATGTCAAAAATATTTCATTACCTGAAAGAAATTGGTAAAGAGGGTCTTTCAGTTCCTTTTTGTTCTCTGTTTACAGTTATGGCAGAAACAATGATGTATGATTACTATAATTATAGCCCTCCTTAGGAGAACTGTACTAATTACATAATGTCTTGACCATTTTTCATATTACCAGCTCTTAGTTAATATAAATTGAAATATATTTAGCAATTTCTACACAGTTCCTTCTCAGACCTCTTTGTGGGACATGAATTGGGTGGTTTAGGATCACTTAGCACATCCAATGTGCTCACAATTGGATATAAAGCTTCTGGGCTAACACATTCACAACTGAGCTACATAGAGCTGCCCTGAGTAGACATCATCTTCATAGATGGCATAAGGGACTTTGCAGGTAATGACTTTTGAGCAAAATGATTTGAATCTATAGTTACAGTGTAATGACAATGAACCCCAGGAGCCAGTTAGGCATGTATTAGCTGAATTAATATTACCTGCAAACTACCCTTTCATTTGATGACTTTATATGACCCTTACAATTGTAGTTTTCTCTATAGTCTTTTTGTATATTTGTCAGCCACCCAGCCCTTCCCACTTTCATTTGGCTATCACCTCCTCTACTGCAGAATCTTAAAGAGTCCATAGAAATAGAAAACTGTCTTTCAAATCTAACATTTCCTTGAAATAAAATCTCTGTTATTTGCTTTAAGCGCTCTGTTTGAAAGTGCCGATTTTCTAAAGGCAGTTTTGTTTAGACAGCATAGTAGTTACTTCTGGGAATTTAAATTTTTCAGTGAAATAGATAATTCTAAGTTAGGAAACACAGTTGCAGCCTCCCCACCCCCACACCTCCAAGTGTAAGTGATTTTTATTGAACGGACTGATTTCATGTTTTCTAAATACTGTCTTTTACCTAGTCTCTAAATAATTTTACATTTTAAAATAAGCAGGTATCTTCTTTACTGTTTTTTGTTACTTTCCCATTGGGAAGTGAAAAGTGCTTCATTCATTTTACATAAGAGGCAAATGAGCAGGTGATGTAACTCACTTGGTAGAGCACTTAACTAGCATGTACAAAATCCCAGATTGGACCTCCAGAATCACACTTCACTGGGTGTGATGCATAAAGTTGAAATCCCAGCACTAAGGAGGTGGAGGCAGAATAATGAACAAACTTCTCTAGGCCAAGTAACTCTTAAGCAGAAGAAACATTTCAGTTGGCAACTTCTCACTTCTGAAATCTCTAAATGTCTCCCTTTATTTTTCTTGAAATTCCCAGGGATTTAGTTTCCTTACCAATTTACAGTTTACAGCAATGTGAATTACAGGTCAGTAAAAAACAGATCACATATTGACAATCTTCTTTTCCCTATAATTGGTAGGCCCTACGCTAAATATTCTGGAAGTGAAGAGTGTCCATATATAATTTAATTTAAAAAAATAGACATACAATTTACAAAGAACTATCTCCTATTCACACACTGAAGGTATTTTTTAATCAAAATTAATGAATGGCTAATGGAAGAAGGTGGCAAGGGACAGAATTTGCATTGTAAGAAATGAATTGTTTAGTTTTCTGGAGGAAAATGAAAATTAAGAGTGTCTAGACCCACAGCTATGTCTGAGAGTTGTCATATGAAACAATAATAGCCAAAGGAGGGCTGTGTCCTCATGTTGTATAAAGCAAATTACCATGTCACCTTCATTGACTCATTTGAAAATAACAAAATCACATGCTTATGAATATATTCATCCCTATGAATTATGTCTAGAAAATATTAAGTTCACCAAAGTGTTTCACAGTAACTGTGAGAGCATCAGCATATTTGACTTTTCATGGCTTTTAATTGACCCTTCCATTGGTTGAGGGGTAAATCACAAGGCAATTACATTACAAAGCAAGAACTATATATACAGTAGTGATTTCTTATATATTTTTTATTAGAAACTCAACTAAGAGCAATTTATTTAGGACATTTTTTCCTGCAAATAGATAATGTTTTGGCCACTAATGTTGGAATATGAGTAAGAGGATATTTGACATCCATAAACAGAATAAAGAAATAATCTGTGGTAAATCTTAAAACCTTAGAAATCATCTTATACATATATGCTAACAATTATTTTAAAGATAACTTTGGATATGGGGGAATGCAGTATAATTTCACATGGATTGAGTTCCTAAAGATTTAGTCTAGGCATTAATAGGTTGTTTTATGAAAATGAATACAGAGACAAAGGCACAGTAAGTACAAGTGTTGCAGAGCCTTAGAAGTTAATATAATATTGAAGCATATCAAAACAATATTAACAGTACCCTAATTCTAACATGCAGTATACAGTAGTATACAGTAGTCTGTATATAAAGCTAAATGTATCTTTCAAAATTATTTCCTTGCTTCTTCTGACACGTTGTCTCTCAACAACAACAAATGGCAGGTAACACATTGGTTTTTTTCTGCAATTTATATTTAAGAAGGAATTAGATTAATGGAGACCAAAGATGGGTTATTTGGGATACTCAGTAGAACCACATATAGATGGAGATCTCAAATAAATCCCTTCTTGTTCTAAAGTATGTAAAATGGTACACAAGAAGTTAACACATATAGAATACCCATGCAGTCAGAACTTCCTCTCTACTCATGCAGAATGCACCCATCTATCCTCTCTTCCTTGTCCTGTCAAGTAAGATCTTTAAATAGCCTAAGTACCTGAGTTGGGATAGTGATTTTCTTTAACCAGGAAAACTAATCAGGAAATTAGCAAATTAGTGATAAACACTGAAAGTGAAGTAACCAAATAGAACAATTGCTATTTATTATGTATACACAATTATGGTGATGGCTTAGCAACATCTATAAAAAGCGCTGTCCAGATATGTTAAGGTGATGCCTTCATACAGCTGATGTCCACTCAGACCCTCATAATGGACCCTTGTTTGGAATTAGGACCATTGCGGATGGAATTAACTCACTCTTATTACACCATAATGGATTTGGTTGAACCTTAATGTGTTCTTGTTGTCCTAACAAAGAAAAAGAGCCCTGGCAAAGGGGCCAGGAACTATGCCAGGTACATGAACTGGCTTTTCAGAGCCCATGCTGGGATGCCTTAATCAGCCTTGATGCAGCGGGGGAGGGGCTTGGTCCTGCCCCCAACTTGGTATGCAAGTTGACTATCCAAGGGAGGCCTTAACCCCCTATGAGGTGTGAATGGGGGGTGGGATGGGGTGCAGGTGGGGGAGGAACTGCACAAGGGGAGGAAGAGGAAGGGGTAACAGTGGTTAGTATGCAAAATGAAAAAAAGTAAAGAAAAGACAATTCAAAGCAAAAAAAAAAAAAAAAAAAAAAAAAAAAAAAAAAAAAACAAAAAAAAACAAAAACAGAAAAACAGGTGTAGGGAGATGGATTAGTTGGGTTAAGTGCTTGCCTTGCAAGTATGATGATCTGAGTTCAATCCCAAGAATCCATGTTAAAAATACTGGATGTGATAGCATGAATTTGAAATCTCATGCTGGTGAGATAGACACATGAATTTCCTTAGGTTGACTTGCCCCAGACTACATAGAGTATTTGGTGAGTTTCAGGCCAGTGAAAGACTTTGTACATAAATAATAATTATTGAGGACAATTAGAGTAGAGAGATGGCCCAGTAGATAAAACAGTAAAGATTTGAGTTTGTTTCTTACCAGCCATTTAAAAATTTAGGTGTGGCTATGTGAGTACTTGCAACCTCAGCCGGGTTGGGGATAGAGATAGGGAGAACACTGTGGCTTGTTGGCCTCCTGCCTAGCTTCAGTTTCAGTGAGAGACCCTGGCTCAAAGATGAGAGTGAGAAAGTAAGACAATATCCTTCCCTGGTTTCTATACCTGTTGCAAAGGGAATAATCACCTGTATATATGTTATATATGTGTGTGACTATAACACACACACACACACACACACACACAGAGAGAGAGAGAGAGAGAGAGAGAGAGAGAGAGACAGAGACAGAGACAGAGAGACAGAGAGCGAGAGAGAGACAGACAGAGAGAGACAGGCAGAGACAGAGACAGAGAGCTAGAGAGAGAGAAGTTGGCAGACAGTAACTAAAGAAAGCTATACACTGGCTTCCACATTTCATTCACACAGGTGCATATGCATACAGATGATTAACTACGATTGTGGACATAAACACATGCACACGCACACATACAAGAAGAGAACACACAAACACACAGATGAGGAAGAAGGCTGTGTGAAGACAGAAGAAAGCAGCTACTAGTCGAGGAGGAAGGCATAGCCATCTGAGAACCAAAAGAACACAGGAGGTGGCAAATGAAGACTCTAGAGATCTGTCATAGGTGACACTTTGACCTTGGATTTCAAGCTTCTAGGACCCTGAGAGAATGAAAGTCTGTTGTTTTCAGTCACACTATTTGTAGTCCTTTCACTTGGAGACTTATGCAAAAGAAGAATACACCCCCACACACCACACACACACACACACACACACACACACACACACACACACACACACACACACACACTCCAATTAAACTGTTTTCCTCAAGAAAGTTTGAAAGGAGGAGGTGCCTGTGGAGAATAGGTGAGAGGGTGCTTGTTAGAAGGC